GCTCTCCTAGGTCTCCATTCAAATGTTCCTTGATTTGTAGATTTCATTAACAAAAATCAAGAAAATTTCTTTTTGCTAGTATTACAGAGTAAGACAAAGCTGCTAACACCAGTTAGCAGTTTTGTGAAAACTTGCATGACAGCATTTAACTACTTTGTTTTTAGGGCCTTGTCAAACTCGAGATGATCTATTCTCAGGGATAGGCCTATTTTGATTACTTTTAATAAGCAATAGATGGATGTTTCGACACACCAGGAGACAGAAACTAGTCAAAGAAATATTCTACTCTCTCCTCTATTCCTTCCCTGAGGGCAATGCTTTAAAAAATTCAATTGTGATATATGTCACATTGCATTTCATCCCTCTACTGAAAAGGTAAAATTATGAGCAAGCCAGGATCCCTCTAGTCCTAACTCTGAGCTGGCATGGCCCCTTGGTTTTGGCAGGGGGCAGACACAAAGAAAAGTGCCTACAACCTACTACCTTGGTACAACCAGGGAAACCCCTTAAAAGGTGAGAGAGATCCTGGCAACTTTATTAGACACTCTGGAGCAGAACTAGGAGTGGTTGTAATAACCAATCATAACTCATCTCCTCACTGAGGTAGGTGCAGGGGCCAAGTCCTCCTCTTTTCCAACAGCAGTATTATACAGCAACCAAGCTTAATTCCCCAAAGAGTATTTCTCACAGGAATTATACAAGCATTGCATGTTCTATTTGTTATAATATATATTGCTCCCTAGGAAAACTGCATACAGATAATAGTTTGATTGCTAAACTTGCTTATGAGCAATAAATATTTGTTCCTACAACACTGCTCCCAGTTTGGTAAGTTTGGAGAGATGATATTTTAGCCCAATAAAGGACAACTGGAACCTGGGTCTCTCAGAGCAATGTTAAATAGAGCCACTGAAGAGATACTTCATATTTCTGAGAGAACAAAAATTCAAGTTTTCATACATAATATTGACATCTGATTAATCCACCCTCACAAGACAAGAATGGCATTGTGTTAAAGAAAAATTTTAGCTATAGAATTACATGTTGAATGGAAAGAAATTTCTTTATTTTAAAGTCCTGAGAAACTCTGATGACCAAGAGAGAATGTTATGCATCTCAGAGAACTTTGTATTTTATGTAATGTTTCTAATATATATACCATTTATCATCATTGTCTACTCATAAAATATTTAGACATACAAGTTGTTTATACACAGTATTTTGTACATGTTTAAAAATAGCCTTGTTGCTTTAACTCTTACATAATACCAAACTCTATACAATTTATATTGTTTATTCACAAACGCTGTATTTCATGAGATTGCCATAAGAATAATAAGGCATATACTATTGTCTTTCCATTGTAGAAACTGCAGAAATAGGGCCTCAGAAAGAATTAGTTCTTATAACCACACAATAGATTCAAAATTCAAATTGTGTCTTTCTGCCTCCAAATTCTATGCCTTTTTATAATACTTTATTTATATGTGATTTAGTGAGATGTTAGTTGAAAAATATGGTTTATATGAGATATATACTCTCTATATAATTGAGCTATAAGATGCATTTCTTATCTTTAAATAGCATACCTATGTGCATAGTGAGACTGCTAACAAATATATATTGAGTGCCCACTGCATGTCAAGCACTGTTTTAGGCTGTATCAGTGAACAGGAAGGATCCCTCTTCTTACTGAGCTGATAAAGACAGGAGCAAAACCAGAACACAACAAGACAACTGCAGGCACTGTTAATTGCTGAGAAGAAGATGTCTTAGTATAATGTTGTAGAAAGTGATCAGTGGGTGGGGGCAACTTAAATAGGATCAGGGAAGGCCTCTTTGAAGAAATGGCATTTAAATTGGTATCTGATTGAAGTGAAGGATGGAATCATGCTTTCATCTGGGGAAATGATCAATCCAAGCAAAGATATACAAGTGCAAAGGTTTGGATTTGTATGAATTCATGGGTAGAAAGAAATCCAAGTAACTGGAGCCTAGTGAGAAAGAGGAGAGTGTAAACAGATAAGGTTGGAGAGATGGACAGAGGCTGAATCACATAGGACCTAAAAATGTAGTTTGACAAGGCAAAGCGTTATTTCTTACACATGTCACATTCAAATAATTGGCTGGGGTGGAGACATTCCTCCATGGAGGCAATGAAGCAGCCACCTTCCTGTCATCTTGTGGGAATATCTTCTTTAACACATATCCTCCAACTTGGCCATAAAATAAGTAGGGAGACAAGGGGATACCAGCTGGGAGGGTTTAATGGGCCAGGCCTGGAAATGATGTCCACTACTTCTGCCTACATTCCATGCCCCAAACTCAGTCCATGTCTGCAAGGAGGGTGGAGAGGCTGGGGAATACAATTTATCTGTGTGCCCAAGAAGAAAAAAACTAGGATATTGGTAAGTGCTAGCATTATTTGGCACAGGCCTCATATATTAAGAATAGTTTAAAAAATGTATTTCATGTACGTTGGAAGCCATTGGAAGTTTTAAGCAAAAGAGTAACACCATATGATTATGATTTGAAAGTTCATTTTGCTAGCTGTGTGGAAGCTAGGCTGTTATAGGCAGATTAGTCAAGAGGCTAATGTAGAACTCAGGGGAAAATTACAGTTGTTTGGATCAGGTTGTAACAAAGTAAATAAAGAAAAGTGATCAGCTTTAGAATATAGTTATCTGGGGGCATGGTAGAGCTTACTGACACATTGGATACAAGTATGAGAAAAAGAGAAGACTTAAGAAAGACTTCTTCATTTCTTTTATTTTTTTTTTGATTGAGCAATTGGTATAATTTATTGAGATATAATGGCTTGGAAGAAATTAGATTTGGGATTGGGGTGGGAGAGACTAAGGAGTCTCTACTTCTATTTGGAAACATTAAGTTTAAAATACCTATTAGACTTTCTAGTGAAGACATCAAATAAGAAATTTGGATATGTGAATCTGGAGCTCAGAAAAGTAATTCAGTTTGGGTATACAAGTTAGAGATCATCATAGAATAGATGGCATATAAAATTCAGTAATGTCATTTTATGATCTTTGCAGCAAACTAGAGAGGTGTTTAAATGCAGATACATTTTTTACTGAATATTTATAAAAGATACAAAAATTAAAGTAAAAATTCCTTACTTTCAAGAAAAACTATATTTTGGAAAGTAAAATAAAATTATACTAAGAATTTATATCATGATATGGATATAATTTCTTGTTTGTAAATAATGCAAACATGGTGCTTCTGGCTATAATGGTAAGATATAATAGCTTTTCCATAAATCTTCTTAAATAGGGATAGATGGCACTATACAGGCATATGGTACATGTTCTGATTTAAGCTCGTAGAAAAACTAAAAGCCATGGCTCAAAATTCAAAATGATTTATAGACAATTTAAGTACCATTAAAGCCTAGAAATAGTAGACACCAATAGAACTAGACCCAATCACATTCAAAAAGAATATTTGATCTTTAAAAGGTTTATTCCAATTGAGTCACTTGATTATGAAACAAAATGTTTCAGATTTTATTTTTAGTTCAACAGGGCCCACTTATATATTTCTAGTTTTTTTATTCAATGCATGAAAATAAGTATAAATTCTTCAGTATCTGATATTTTTCTTTAAAAAACTATATCTAAATATTTTGAGGGTATCTTTTCGGCTTGAACTCAATAATTAAGCACAAAAATGCTTACTATCACATTGGCTATTTTTCTGCAATCCCAAATTGGTTCTTCCCCAGTATCCTGGACCTATACTTCATCTCATTCCCTCTCTTCACTTGAATTCTTTGAAGGATGGGATAATTTTTCTTTTGCTCCTTTGCTAGAAATTGCTTAATCCTGAGTTTTATGGGAAGATAAGACAGAGACAAAAACCAAGAGTACTCATTGAAATGGAGAAGAGGAAAAGGAAGGCTTGGTTATATTTTAGATATTATAGATTTTTTTCTTAAAAGGGATAAAAGGTTCATTTTACCTGTGTTAGCTGATCAACAGAGCAGCCAGTCAATCAGAACAGCTGATTTTAATGACTCATCTTAAAGAGGCAAGTTTTTAAAGTAATCAGTTGGTCAACATAATCACTGTTTAGAAAAAGAAAAGAGCTTTACCAAAGCTTCATGTAAAATAAAGAAAGTGAAAATAGTATAAATTTCATCCATATTAAAGACAGGTTACTGAAAATTATAAAATTCTCCCTATAAAGTTTAAATTGTGTTATTAATTTCTAATAATGTTCTTTTGTGCATAAATGCATTATCTTTAATTAAAATCACAGTGGGGGGGTCTTTATAGCATGACTGAACTCTTCTCCAGTGACTATTTTATTTTATTTTTTTTCTTTTTTTATCAACTCCAGTGACTATTTTAAAGAATATATATCTGGAGTGGATGCAAGAGCTTTGGATAACACAAATATAAAGATGTTTCAAATGTCTCCACACAAGAGCATATAAACAAATGCTGCCTGGAACATCATAATCAAGAACAATTTAATCAATATCAGCCTTTTATTCAAAAAGCTTACATGTTGATCCCAACATTTCCTCAACTAAGGGAAAAAATAAATTTATTATAACATTATGTCTAACTTGCCCCTCACAAGCAAACCAAGTCCCCCATAAATGGAAACCCATTTTAAGGATACAATCTTCAGCATAGTATGCAAGGACCTCCTTGACATAGACCACAAATCTCCACTTATCCCCCATGAATCCTCTATGTGCACTTTATATGGAGGCTCAATTCCCTACAAATTAAGGTAGTGTGCTGCCTTGATCGCTCTGCAGTAGACTTCCTACCAATCAGGAAGGTCCATTCCAACCAAAAGGATAAATAGATTGAAAAATACAATTTATAATAAAGGCAGAAATATGGATCATGAAGGAAAAGGTGACACCTTAATACCTATTATCAAGAAAAGAAGCTGAAGAAAATGTGAACTCAGAAGAATGTTTACATATAGCAAACAGCTTTATATATCTTGTGTATACATACCTGTGTATACCTTGGTATATACACAGTCAGCCATCGATATTCGTGGGTTCCACATCTGTGGATTAAACCAACCACAAGTCAAAAATATTTGGGTAACAAAAACAATAAAAAATAACAATGCAATAATAAAAATATGCAATTTTTAAAAAATATATAGTATAACAACTATTTACATAGCATTCACATTGTACTAGGTATTATAAGTAATCTAGAGATGATTTAAAGTATATAGGAGTATATATCTAAGTTACAAGCAAATACTATGCCACATTCTACAAGAGACTTGAGCAACCTTGGATTTTGGTATCCACGAGGGATCCTGGAACCAATCTCCCATGAATACTGAGAAACAACTATACTGTATCACAGCATCATATAACAATTGATATTCATAATGATTCCAAATCATCAATATCTTTTAAGCATGTTCTGTGTTCTTTATTTAATAAAGCAGAGATGCTTGAAATACTTGACAAATATTTCATGCAAAATTATATAAAATGAAGAAGTTTCAGTGCTTTCATTATCTGGAAAACTCGCTCTTGTAAACAAAATTATTTGCAACAATAGTAGATAAAACAATGAACTAATAAAATATTTTATATAACTTCATGTAAAAGAGTACTGAGATTGCCAGGGAAGATTTCAAGAAGCTGCTAGCACTTGCATTCTCCTTAGAGTCGTTGGGAATAAGCAAGAGAGGAGATGGGATTCCAGGACAAAAGAACACAATTATTAAAAATGTGGAAGAATGAACTTATAAGGCATGTTCTTGAAACCATAAAGAAACAAGTTTGAAGAAAATGAATTTTATACCTAGCAATGTAGCCAGAATGTAGAGAGGGGCTTAAAAACCATGCAGAAAAATGTGGTTGTAATAGAATGTGAAATAGAGCCATTAAAAACTCCTGACCTAGAAACAAGCTTATGAAACCATCATTTAAATAAGTCTTCTGTTGTTTTGTTTTGCTTGTTTTTAAGAAGATACTGATTTAGTGAGACTGCAGACAAGGAAACCAGTGAATAAGTTCTTTGTGTCACTAGCTGTTAAGTTCTGGAAGTACTGGAAAATGATCCTTCCTTCAAGTGTACACTAATATATGAAGCAATCCTATGAGAAGAGTGTCATTATGTTGACAGTATTACAACATATATGAAGGCAAAATTTAATTATTAATGCTTCAATGTTTCCAGCCCTTCACTCCCTTGCCCACTAAAGAAAATTCTAGATTAGCCCATTCTGTCTTTCCCATCCCGGTCTACATGGAAGATACAGAAAGATTCTGTAGGAGCTATTTAACTGAAAAAATAGGAAGAGGAGGTAGAAGTCTGCAGGAAAAGGTTTTCAGGGAATTTAGGAGAATTTGGAGAGAGTAAATAATGGAAATATTGAAGCAAAAATTCTACTGGACAAAGTTAAATAGGCAAAAAAAAGTGTATTGCAAGATAACTGCAGCACAGATATTTTGGAAACTAGTATGGAGGCACCTAAAAAAAAATAAAAAAAGAATTACCATATCATCCAACAATCCCACGGCTATGCATGTACCCAAAGAAAACGAAATTAGTATTTTTAAGGGACACCTGCTCTCCCATGTTTATTGCAGCATTATTCACAATAGCCAAGGTATGGAATACCTAAGTGACCATCAATGGATGAATAGATTTTCAAAATCTATCTCATATATACACGATGGAATACTATTTAGTCTTAAAAAAAAAACTCAGGAAATTCTATCATTTGCAAAAACATGGATTTTATTAAGTGAAATAAGCCAGGCACAGAGAAATAAACACCACATAATCTCACTTATATAAGGAATCTAAAAAAGTTGGACCCACAGAGGTAGAGATTAGAGTAGTAGTTCCCAGAGGATGGGGTTTTGGCATAAGGGTGGTTGGGGAAAAAGGAGATGTTGGTCAATGGGTACAAAGTTACAGTTAGATAGGAGAGATAAGTTCTGATGTTCTATTGCACAGCAAGGTGATCATAGTTAGTAACAATGTATTTTATATTTCAAAATAGCTAAAAGTGAGGATTTTAGATGTTCTCACCACAAAGAAGTGACAAATATTTGAGGAGATGGATATGCTAATTATTCCTATTTGATCATTCCACAATGTATACATATATTGGAAATATCACTTTTTACTCCATAAATATATATAATTATTTGTCAATTAAAAATAAAATCTAAAAAAAAAAGAATATTGCAATATGAGAGAAAGGCCTGAACTCAGTGTGAACTCAACTCTGCTAAAACAAAAAGCTGGGAAATTTTTAAATGCTGTGATGGAAGGATCTTAGACCATCTGTGTTTGCTAACTGGCTTTACTCAAAGAAAAAGTAAACATGCTGATACCTTCATGATAGGAGGCACTTTTACAACTTGAAGCAAGATGCCCACTGAAAGTAGACGCCTACTCTCCAACAGAAACTGGGAGACGAGTGCTATCTTCCTTGTAGATAATCAAAAAGAAGGCTCTAGGTCTTTGTGAAAGGCAGTACTGGACTGTATGACTACCAAGAAATTATTTTTTGGTATAGGGTTTTTTTTTTTTATCACAACACTACTCTGAGACCAAATTTTAAGGCTTTTTGAGTATAAAATAGTATTGAAAAACCGACTGCCAGAATAAAAACTAGCATGTCATATTAAACTTTGATTAGCCTCCCAAAAATGATCCCAACAAAGAATTTTCTAAAGAAAGGAAAATATCCTGATCTATGTTGACAAAAGAAATCAACACATTAAAGGAAATTTTTTCTGGGACTCAAAAAAAAAATATTTAAAAAATAACATTGATATTATATCCAAATGGAGAAAATACTGACAATCTTCTTTGCAGCTAATGAAATGGCTAGTGAGAAGATAGTTCATTTATACTACAGTACTCACCAACATCCCTATTTAATGAAGATGTACCATGTCTATTTCATAAAGATTAAGTTCTTAGGGAATAAAGGGAAAAGTTTTTCATTCCAGGTGCATAAGGCTACATATGATCAATTATTTTCCTGACAAAGTTGTTTTACACTTGTAGAGTTTTATTAAGAGTTTTAGGTGAGAGAGTGAAGAAGATCCACAGCTGGCATAATTATTTCCTTCCCTCAACCCACCACATGCCCCCTCTGTCATGCTTGTCTATCTGTTTGCATGAATAGATAAAATATCAAAAGATTCCCAACACATGCCTAATTGCAGGATAAAGCTGAAAGCAAGAAAGTACTAAACATTGACTGTTTCCTCTGAGGATCTTATGTGACAACCTAAAATCACAAAGGTCCCAACCTCTGAACTTCACATATCCATGGGTCTCAGGCAGTGGGCATGGACTTGGCTTCTTGCACATGAATGGATGGGTGGAGTAGGGATGGCTGTAAAAGGAGGTGCCCTCAAAGCTTCCAAGTATCTAAATACTCATCAGAATTCATCTGTCAGGCTTAATGAACTACAAATAAAAACTATTTTGATCTTAATTGAACCTTAATGTGAATAGAAATAAACAAATTACAGTTTCTATAATAACAATTTTCCCCATTGTTGCCTTTTCAGAAACTTTTCATTAAGCATCAGATACTAATTCATCAAATCAGTAATACCTAATGGGTTTCCTAATTTCTCTAATTCTCTAATTTCTCCTTCACCCCATATTTTTGGTAACTGGCTACTTTAGGAATTTTCTGAAACCTGTTGGGCATATTGAAAATAAATCCCTTGAAGTTGCTTCTTCTTATCTTCACCAAAAAGAAAAATAAACCCAGGAATCTTTGTCTATTTCCTCACAATGAAGGAAATATAAAAGAGGAGAGACGTGTCATCTCTTCTTCTAAGATGGAATCTTAGAAAATAAATTAGAAGAGAATGTGTTTATTTATGCTAATACTGTTATCATTACAATCTCTCCTGCTTTGAGAAAAACTGAAAGCCCTTATCTGTCTATGCAATTTAATTTGTCAAATATTTATGAGAGTACCTTTAGACAAAATATATTCTGCTAAACACTGTGGGAGACTTAGAAAATAGTGATACACATTTTTGTCCTAATTGTAGAAATAAGAAATACTTTCAAACAATTTTACTTCAGGACTGAATGTACCAAGAGGGGCATTTAAAAAGTCACATGGATGGTTCAAGAGGAAAAAGAGCTTCCCTCCATTTGAAGGCAACCAGAAAACAACCAGAAAAATATCCTGTCACTATAGTTCTGTATTGAGACATGTGACTTCAGATCCATTTCTTTGGCCAGGACATACTAAGTGTATATTATTAATGATCAGTTTATGACTTGACAGCAAAGTCTATAGAACTTGGATCAAGGGACAGGTAAGTTTTCCTTTTGGTGTAGGAGAGAGAGGAAAGGCTTGGATCTAGAAAAACCTAGGATGCCAATTTAAAGAGTTATAGTAATACATCTTGGACATTGAGGGATAGAACTTGAAACAAATAATGGGTTGGATTGTTAAATAAGATTCACAAGGATCATCTTACCCAGAATAAAATCATACTAATAATTTCAAGAAGAAAGAAAATCATGAGAAAAGAAAGATGGAAAATCTGGGATAGCCAATGTCATTCTTAGGTCCATTTGTGCTGCATACAGTGCTGCCCTGGTCTAGATTTAACATATGAGCTCTCAGTGTTGCATGCAGGAGCATTGCTTACATAAAAGGGAGCTATCTTTGTCATAAAACATCTCCATTTTATACTCAAATATAAAATGTGTGATATTTTCAAGGTAGCCATATCCTATAAATTCACACATTTCCAGGTTTATTTAACATAAGCAATCCTAAACAGATCAGATACATGTGCTAAAGTACTTCATATATAAGAATTCTCCCACTAGCAAACAGCAGGAGATCTTTCTTTAGAATGTTTATAAGTGTTTCTGATGGATCTTCCTTTCCAGGGGCATTCCACAGCAGGGGGAAAAAATGACTTGTAGGTCTGTGGCTAACATTTTTCTCTTTCTAGTCCACAATCTGATCTTGGTCAATAGCTCCTCGAAACATATTTCTTGGGTATGTTTTCATTATTTGT